AGTCTCGAATCCGGTAAGTATCACAGCCTCTTACCACCGAAGTCCAACACTGATCTCTGTCCAACTCGTATCAAGTCTCCAATCTGAAGAAGAAGAAGGAGTCTGAAGAAGAAGAAGACGAAGTCTGAAGAAGAGGAAGAGGAAGTCTGAAGAAGAAGAAGAAGATGGAGATGGAGAGAAGAAGATGGAGAGGAGAGGAGAGGATGGAGAGGGCCTCAGACCAAACCTGCGGGTGCAAGCTGGCGTCTTGGCGGCGGCGGGAGTCTGGATGCAGGTCGCTGGAGCTATGGCGCTCAATTTGCAGGTAAGTCCTCCTCGCCTCCTTGCTCCTCCTGGACTGCAGTGCGCTAAACTAGCGCTGCAGTCCCTACCGCTCTGCTCAACCGAATAGCGCAGCGTTCTCCTGGCTGCTCCTCGCTCCAACCTGCAGGAATGGCCGCTGGACCGGCCTAAGTACCGTCCGGCGGCCGGTCGGCCTCAATGCTGGCCTCCTGCGCCATGGGCTGAACCGTCGAAAATAGCCGTTCAGCCCAGACCGGCGGGCGGCAGCCTCAAGAGCGCCGCCAGGCCCAAACGGTTTGTCGTTTTGGCCAGACCTGGGTCTGTTCATACCGAGGCCCAACCGGTGGCCTAATAGGGCCTACCGGTAGGAAAAAGGCCTGGCCTTTGGCTAGGCCGGCCTGGGTACCCCTGAACCGGTGTGTCGGGCCTGTGGAGGCCCGTGTGAAGTCGCAGACTGTAACACACTCCCCCCCCTTAAAAGACCGAGCTACCTGCGAGGGCGAAGTTGTCTGTCCGATACCTGGGTGGGTCGGGTGGGACGAACTTTTTCCTTGGCAAGTGTCCGGTTCTCGTAATCGGAGAAGATAAGTGGTGCAGATGCCTGTAAGTCTGCGCGGGAGATCCAACGAGTGTCATCAGGGTCACATTGCTTGAAAGTGACTTGGTACTGCATTGGCTTGTTGCCAAACTTGCGGTGCCTGATGACACGGTCAACTTCTTGATGGCCGACCATAGAGGGCTGATCCTGTGATCGTCTGCCCGGGAACTCATCTGCGGATGGTGGCGTGTAGATGGCCAGCTTCGACGCATGAAAGACCGGATGCACACGGAGGTGGGGTGGAATGGCAATCACAAAGGAAGGACCTGCAGGGTCGTCGCCTGCTGCAGAAGTTATCGTCCATGGTCCAAACCATTTCGGGAGGAGTTTGCGCGAGACATCCTACTCGAGCGCGAATACCTCGGCGCGGACCCAAACAAGGTCTTCCTCGTGGAAAGGACATGGGAGTCGACATCGGTTGGCTTCCTGTTGCATGCGGATTTGAGCCTTTTGCATGTTTGCGCGGGCTTTGATCAGCAAGTCCCGGTACTTCCGGATGGAAGCGGGAGAGCAAGCGACGTCTATGTCGGCGGCCCGTGGTAGAAGAAGATCGGCAAAGACTGTCCATTCGTCTGCGGGTGTCGTGCGGATCTCGGCTTCATAGTCAAACCGGACTCCGTCATGAGGGAAGTCCAAAATGCAGACATGAAGCGAGTGTCTCTGTCGCTCACAATATCTTCCGGAACACCATGGGCGGTAATCCAGCCGGTGTGCAAGAGTCGAGCGAGCTCGGGGGCTGTAGCACGATACTTGCATGGAAGAAAACGAGCGTACTTGCTCAAACGGTCAACGACCGTGAGAATGCTGTCATGGCCGAGGCGATCGCGGGGGAACGGGCCTGTAACATCCATAGCAATGGAGAGGCGTGGTGCCCGAGGAATCGGCATCGGTTTCAGTTCGCCATAAGGGACCGTAGATCGGCCTTTGTTGCGATGGCAAACTGCGCTTGACTCAATGTACCTCGTGACGTCGTGAAGAACGTCGGGCCAGTGAAAACGCTGGCGGAGGCGAGCCAATGTGCGGTTCACGCCAAGATGTGCCGAAAGTCGTGCGTCGTGGAATTCGCCGAGAAGACGAGTCCGTAAGGTGCGATCTTGGGGCACCACTAACAAGTCCTTCCCTCTCGTGTGAAGGAGTAGGAAATCGTCGGAGATACGATAATGACCAGCCGGCGGGTGATCCGATGATAGGTCCGCATAAAGCGTAGAGTACGTCGGATCGGACTTGTAGCCGTTGACGAAATGCTGTTGCAGATCGTCGTCGAGGTCGAACGTCGTGGTCACGAGGGCACAAAGATCGGGCCGTCGTGAGAGGGTGTCCGCTGCTCGATTGGCGGGACCGGGAATGTGGCACGACTCAAAGTCGAACTGGTCGATGTAATACATCCATCGACCGATCGTGCTAGTGACCGTGTCCTGCGTTTTGTAGAAGGTCAACGGATTGTTGTCCG